TTGCAACTTCAAGGTGAAAAAGTTTCATTTCTGTGATTAGTGTGCTTTTATAGATGTAATATTTGGCATAACAGACGATAGCAACAACCCAAATTAACAACTGATGCCAAATTGAAAGAGTTACAAGTTAGTTAACAGCGAAGAAGCAAACGATTCGGCTTTACGTGAGGCTCGGATTCAAGAGCTAGTATATTGGACTGCGCTCTAGTTTAGAAATACTGAACACCTACTGAATAACAGCGAATGAGTGAATGGCTCAGCGGAAATGAGAGGAGTGGTACTGGTTCTTCTGATTACTGCCCTTTTCATTATAATCTGATTTTGTACCCCTGAGTGAAATTATTCACCCATGATTTAGGGCGCAGAAGAATTGCCGGTAATAAAATTTTTATTGTCAGGGTGTTTGGTTTTCAAATTGGCAACTAATTAAAAAATGAACGGCTTTCTCTCTGGCGATTATTATTCGGTAGCATAGAGTATTGAGAGTTTATGAAAAAATTTCATTCTACGAAAGCTGCTTTAAAGAAGCACCTCATCGTCATTATAATGCAGTAACATACTGCAAAATCTCTACGATGTTAGTCGCCTTTATGGTGTCATAATTGACGGACATTTGTTGCGCCATTCCGCTCATAAAATTTATAGCGCAACGCTGGTTTCCGTTTCTATACCATCATCTAAATTTCCCTGATTATACAGGTGGAGTGAGTCTACAGGTGTGGCAAGCATGGCGTGCAGACTTTTGCTTCCTTCCCACAGAGGGGGACGCACTTATCAACCTCGGAAGGAAGAAAGAAAGGCAAATGACCCCGCCGAGGCTATGACCATTGCCCTTTCGATCGATTCTGAGCCCGATGCTCCACTGACTGAACAACTCCAGTTTACGGTCAGGTCTAAAGTTTTGGCATAAAGGATGTTCAGTCTGTCTATTGGCTTCCCGCCATGTGATTTTACGAACAGGATATAACTTGCTAATCTCTCGTTTGCACCCAGGTCACGCGTGAAAATCATCTCAGATTCAAGCTCTCGGTCTGAAGAAGTAGCGGGTCACCGATGATGCTATTCAATGTCTAAAAGTTATGCGTATTGAGACATCTGAGATCAATTAATTTTCGTATTTACATCGCAACCGAAACAAAAGGTGTCATAAATCATACATCTGAAACGTCTGCATTCCAAGAGCCTGATCGGCGTGATCCTCCTTATAATTTAGGTCGAATTTTGAGGAGGGAGCAGTTTGGAAAAAACATGCAAAACGCTCAACGATTCGCCTTACTTTTGCAACTCTGATCTGACTGAAGGGCGTATCCGTCTTTGCAGACGCATTTCCACTTGCCCTTCATTGCTGTATCCTTGATGCACCGTTCCGTAAGTCGGTCGCATCGACGGCAATCTTAAAGTGAGAGCAAAGTGACGTTACTCCCTTACGCACCGTGAAACGCTGTACCTTCGATTCTTCTCAAAGACGGGCCTAAAACCGAAAATACGAGTTAGCACACTAACGGCAACGAGCGACGTTTGGAAAGCTTTACTTTTGACACACTCTCGATTGACCATGAAAAACCCAGGCAAGCAATGGCACATGTATGTCCCGAACATGGTTCGTTTGCAAATCGTGTTCTTCTCCCTACAAGGATTGCTTGCACATGGGTCGATCGCTAAAATGGCAACGCCATATATTATAATTAGCTTGCTGCTCGTTCCAACAACGTGTAATTGATTTTATCCAAGGTGTGTGTGCATACGGCAGGATATGACAGGAGTATCAATGACATGAAGACCAGGATAGGCAAGAAGTGTTGAAATTGAGAAGTATGGACTAGAAACGTCGGATCCGAGGTATATTTTGCGTAGAGCTGACATTTCAGGGTAGGATAAAGCACATGAGTGAAATTTTCACGCTATACTTCAGTTATGAACAAGTAATGCTATTTGAAAGCCAACTGATGAGCTTAGCACTCCTGCTTCAGGAGTGTGTTGTGACAGGCAGTGTTCGAACGATGCTACTGTAGAAAATGACCCAGCGACCTTCACGTCTTTTCAGCTGCTCGAAGGTTAGGCACTGCTTGACAGAAAACTTCTTTTGCATGTACAAAGTACACAACGATGTCTCACGATCAGCGCCATATTAAGCTCCTTAAGGTGAACCCATGAGCCCACCAGCGCACTGTACACGTGTTAAGATCATCATCTTGAGCCATTTACGTAATCAGCATGTCTCTGATTTGTGAATTCGCAGATTTACGATACTTTTCGTATGAGGCACTGGTTACTGCATCGTAAAAAGTAATATTCCTCTCCAAAAGCAGATCTGTCCCTAGTTTGCTCCTCCATGCTGCATTTTGGCCATCTGGTCGGCATCTGCCATGTTGTGGCTCATGGGACTGAGTAGGTGGCTTATTCACAACCAGTTTGTCTAACAGTGCAAGCCTTCATTTTTTAATCTCAACATCTATCAAGTCATTTATGCCCGGAGGAGAAGAGAGTTGTTAGTTACGTTTCTTACTAAATAAGCCTGTTTGTACGTCGAAATCAATGCACATCAACCGACGTTCTTTCTCCCTTGTTAGAACAACTGTTTCGTTTCCGTACAGCGGAAATCAACTGCCAAAGACAAGATACAGGCAAACTTTTATGGAAAGAAATAATTCTTGATCAGATCAAAACTTAAACAGGCACATTCGAGATGAGAGCGATTTTCATATTTAGCTCTGATTAAATAATGCCATTGGACGTGAGAGGGCCAAGGTACTTAAATCTGTCAAACTCCTCAAGTGTTTTACCGTATGAATTGAAGATCATTTGCTCCAAATGAGGGGTGGGG